TATGCAAGTATCTTATCTATCAAAATGCTACGTTGTTCTCTTCATGAGCACTGAGTACACTAAACTGCAAAATTAAACATTTCCTCATTTGAAATTGCTAAACTTCTTCCTCTGGACTTTCCAGTGATGAACTACTGGGAGAAGAGTCAGAATGAATAAGCAAAGAGGTTACTGAATACTTCTTTTATAAAGGTTTGTTAATACATGGGCAACTAGTCCAGGGAGGAAGAGCCAATGGTTTAATAGCGTGTGGTGAGATATTGGCTTCTGGATTTCCAACATTACCACATTTGTGTGTTTCAAATGTCCTTGAAGTGTGAACCATGTACTTAACTGCAGTGTTATTCAGCCCTGCAGTTATTACATGATGTTCCCATGAAAGCATTATTTTTATTTCTTTCAACTCTGTCTACCATGGTTACATTATAAGATGGTCCAAGTTATGCCCTGTAATGAATATTGCTTAATATGTAGTGCAAATTTGTAGTTCAGTGGTTCTCAACCCTGGCTGCACATTAGAGTCACCCGGGGAACCTAAAACACATACATATACACCAGTGAGTGGGCTCCACACCAGCTCAGTAAAATCAGAGTATCTTGGGTATGACTTGGGGCATCGGTGTTCTTTTAAAAAGCTCCCCTATGGATTCTAAGACAGCCAGAGTTGAGAACCACTAGTTTAATGGGATAAGCATGTACCATTTCTTGCAATGTGCATCTGTTGGAGAATTTTTTTCTCTTTACATTATAGTAATCGGAAAATAGATATGGTTTTGCAAGCAAATTGGATTTAGCAAGATTTCTTGTAAAGGAGTTTCTTATCTTAGCTGAAACATTTTTCTTTTCTTTTGAGATGAAGTCTCACTGTGTCACTGAGGCTGGAATTCAGTGACACTATCTCGGCTCACTGCAACCTCCACCCCCCCAGTTCAAGCAATTCTCCTGCCTCGGCCTCCCAAGTAGCTGGGATTACAGGTGTGCACCACCATGCCCGGCTAATTTTTTGTATTTTTAGTAGAGACAGGGTTTCACCATGATGGCCAAGCTAGTCTGGAACTCCTGACCTCGTGATCCACCTGCCTCGGCCTCCCAAAGTGCTGGGATTACAGGCTTGAGCCATCGTGCCCAGCCAGCCGAAACCTTTTAAATGTTCTTTTGCAGTGGTCTCTCCTAGCATACTTATAATCTTGAAAGAAAAAAATACTTCTCAAAATATTGACACATTGCATTCCAGAAGTTTTGAGTCATGTACAGGATGAAAAACTCACTGAAATTATTTTTAGATGTCTACAATATCTACCTTTCAAAGGGCTTTTCAGTAATTACCCATTTTGTCATTGTAAGCTTCATACAGGACACTCAGCCCATTGTTCTGTTTACCTTTTTCTAGGTTTGAGATCAGTTTATGCCACCTTTTCACTGCAAATTGGTCAGGTATCATTATTTCATTGAAAAGTATAGTAAGCCTGGAATACCTTATACAATGCAGATGAGATAGAAATGAAAACTCTTTAAATTGTGAAGTGCTACTTAGCTATAAGCTTATTATTATTATAAGACGGGATCTTGCTGTGTTGCCCAGGTTGGTCCTGAACTCCTGAGCTCAAGCCATCCTCCTACCTCAGCCTCCCAAATTGCTGGGATTACAGGCAAGGGCCATAATGCTTGGCTTATAAACTGATTGAATCCTAGTCTCCTAAGAGGCCAAATTATTATCCTTATTATCCTTCAATGTGAAGTGAGTCTGACAGCTCCATATACATGTCTATCTATTGATAAACATATATACCCATGTATAGAAAACACTTTGCCCTGTCCCTGGGAGATCTGGAAGCTGGTTCTTGTGAGGGGTGGGGAAGAGAGATCTCAGGATGATGTCTAAGTTCTCAGTGAAACCTGCTCTTCTTCTCTTTAAATGTTTCCCACCTCCAGCTCCAGTGCGGGTGTCTAGCTCAACAATTACCCTTATTTTTTTACCTTTTCTTTTCCTTTTTTACTAGGAATACAAATGGAAATTTGTTGAGTTTTAGCTATTTTGCATATGTTTTATCTGAATATTAGAATTTGTCATAATCAATGTAATTAACACATGAACTATTTCTGTATAGGAAAAAATGAGTCAAATTTAAGCAATTTATCTTTTTGATTTTTTGATAGAGTCTTGCTCTGAAATGCAATGGCTCAATCTCTGCTCACTGCAACCTCCACCTCCTGGGCTCAAGCGATTCTCCTGTCTCAGCCTCCTGAGTAGCTGGGATTATGGGTCCATGCCATCATGCCCAGCTAATTTTCTGTATTTTTTGTAGAGATTGGTTTTCACCATGTTGGTCAGGCTGGACTTGAACTCCTAGCCTTAAGTGATCTGCCTGTCTCAGCCTTCCAAAGTGCTGGGATTACAGACATGAGCCATTGTACCATAATTTTGGATAACTTTTGAGGAAATTAGGAAAATACACACTTCTGCTCAATTAGTAATGATTACAATGCTGTATCTACCAATGTTCAAATCCTTTAACTGTAGAATTAGGAGAAATACCCTAAAATTTTAGGAGGAAGATGGTCAGTTAACTTATAGGTTAGATATTTTGTGTAAAGAGTCTATATGTCCTTCAGCAAAATATGGCTTTCACACAGATAAGCACACAAATTACAAGTTCCCAGCTCCGTTAATTTTCACAAAGTGAAACACACTAATGCAACTAGAACTCAGAACAGGAAGGAAAACATTAATAAAACCTCTGAAGTCCTTCATGCTCCTTTGTAGCAGTCACTTATCTAACACTGTAGATTAGTTGTACATATTACTGAAAACTTGTATGTGAATTTAAATATACAATTTGTACCTTTTTTTGGTGGCAAGGGATGTTCTTTTGCTCAGTTTTTTCTTTCTTTCTTTCTTTTTTTTTTTTTTTTGAGGCAGAGTCTTACTCTGTCACCCAGGTTGTAGTGCATTGGTGCCATCTCGGCTCACTGCAGCCTCTGCCTCCTGGGTTCAAGTAGTTCCCTGCTTCAGCCTCCTGAGTAGCTGGGATTACAGGCACCTGCCACCACACCTGGCTAATTTTTGTATTTTTAGTAGAGATGGGGTTTCAACATCTTGGCCAGGCTTGTCTTGAACTCCTAGCCTGATGATCCACCTGCCTTGACCTCCCAAAATGTTGGCATCACAGGCGTGTGCCACCATGCCTAGCTTTTTGCTCAGTTTCATATGTTATTGCGGAATGTTAATTTATTGTTTTGTATTATTCCATTGTTTGGATATAACACAATTTATTGATTCTTTACTTAATGGGTAGTTTGGGTTTCTGGGTTGGGCCATACTGTACTGTAGTACTATAGACATTCTTATGTGTCCTTTGCTAAATATATGTATATATTTCTCTTGAGGATATATGTACAAGTGCAGTTGTTGAGTCATGTGTTCAGCTTTATTAGATACTGCCAGTTTTCTAAATTATACTCCCATTAACAATGCATCAGCGTTTCAGTTGCTTTACATTTTTTGGCATCACATAATACTAAAACTTAGTAAGTCAAGGATGCATGTTATAACTTTTAGTATAACTAATAAAAGAATAGCAAAAACATATAACTGACAGGTTAATAGGTAATAGAATGAAATAATAAACTTAGTCCAGAAGAAGAGTAAAACAGGTGATACTGTGATAAATATCAACCTAATATGCTAGTAAGTACATTAAATGTAAATGGACTACATACCCCAATTAAAAGATTAAGAATGTCAGATTGGGGAAAAAAATCTCAAGTAGATACTGCTTATAGAACATATCTTCAATATAAGGACACAAGCAGATTAATAATAATAAACTCTATCATGCAAGCACTAACCAAGCTCATGTAGTTGTATTAACATCAGACAAAGACATAAAGTAACAATAATTATTAGAAATAAAGGATATTGTTTAATGAATAAAGGGTTGCTAGTCCAGCTCCTAGTTTAAAACCTTATGTGTAATTTTTCAGACCCAACCATATGCAGTTACAAAGGCTTTATCTGACAGGCCTAACTGGAGAAAGCTGCCCTCCCTCAATCCAACTTGGTGTATGGCCAGTGCACTGTAGTCCTAGAAATGAGTACTGGTTGTGACTCAGGTCCGGCTGGCCAGCCAAACCCTTATAGATAGTTGCATTCCTAGCCCAGGTTCTTCATTTGGAGGCCTTCAGCAGAGACCTTTCTCAGGTGCCTCTAAACCACTAAAACCACCTTAGCAGGGGTAAGAGGGGAACTTTGAAGACTGCTTTTTCTCCAGCAAAATACTTTCCCACTCCTAGCTCTTCTCTTTCTACTTACCCTTAGCTACTGGATCCATGATACTGCAGGAATCTTTTTGGGAAGCTCCCTTGATAGTGAAGAGAGCACCATATTTTGCTGATTGACCTGACCCTTGGCCAACAGCACCATTTCATGAGGAGAAAATAGAACAGGGACATTAGCACTTTCTCTTGTTTAGCCTCTTGCTTTATAGCATCACAGTAAGTGATTAAAAGCTTGACTGTTAAAAAGTTAACTTTTAAATCTTACTGTTTTAATTGACTGCTCAGACATCTGGCAGCTCAGCTTAGAGCCTAACAGTGGTTAATCCTCCTGGAGGCTATAACAATTCCAAATTCATGTGCCCTTGGTGGTGTAGCCTCAAAATGCATAAAGCAAAAACTGATACTTGAAATTTATTGTATAACATTCACACAGAAAAGAGTACATCTCCGTTCGTTATTACAGAGTATATCAGTATACCTAAGACATTTAACATTACCAACACCTGAGAAGGCTCACTTGAGACACTTCTCAATCACTATGGCTTTCCCCTTTCTTAAAGGTCACTGCTATTTGTGCCTCTAATGAAAGAAATTAGTTTTGCCTGTTTTTAAATTTTATATAATAGAATTATTAGTATATATTTGGCTTCCTTCACTAATATATTGTTAAATATGTTTCTAACCGTCTTCTGCTGAGTATTAACCTACTGTTACCATTTCAGATGTTGTAGAAAACGATTATGAGAGCTTACGTGTATTAAACATTGAAAGAAATGGAAATATCATATATACCTATAAGGTATGTCTGTATTTTTTTATTGTGATAAAATGTACATTTACTGTTTTTAATCATTTATTTTCTCTTTTACAGAATTCTATATTGTATCTTTTTTTTTTTTTTGAGACGGAGTTTTGCTCTTGTTACCCAGGCCGGAGTGCAATGGCATGATCTCGGCTCACCGCAACCTCCGCCTCCTGGGTTCAGGCAATTCTCCTGCCTCAGCCTCCTGAGTAGCTGGGATTACAGGTACGCACCACCATGCCCAGCTAATTTTTTGTATTTTTAGTATCTATATTGTATCTTATTGAGGGGTAATGAATAAACTTGTTGGTATTTAATCTTAACATATGACTTTGTGTGAGATCGAATAAAGTGGTTGAAATTTGGTAGTATTAGGCTGGGCATGGTAACTCACAACTGTAATCCTAACAATTTGGAAGACTGAAGCGGGCAGATCATTTGAGTTCACGAGTTCAAGACTGGCCTTGCCAATATAACAAAACCCCATTTCTACCAAAAAATACAAAAATGAGCTGGGAATGGTGATTCCCGCTACTTGGGAGGCTGAGACACAAGAATCACTTAAACCCAGGAGGTGGAGGTTGCAGCGAGCCAAGATTGTACCACTGCACTGCATCCAGCCTGGGTGACAGAGAGACAGCCTGTTAAAAAAAAAAAAAAAAGAGAGAGAGAGATTTAGTATTATTAAATGTTGCTTCATTTTAAAATAAAACTAAACGAGCACATCTGACATAATACTCAAAGTTTTTGAATCAATGAACAATTTCATTTTCTAGACAAAATATACCAAGTACAAGATGTTTAAACCTAATTAATATGTTAAAATTTTATCCTTGGAGAAAATATTAAATATGATTACCCTCTTCAGATGTAGATATGTTAGGACTTTTGAAGCATTATTATTATTTTGTTTTTAGACACAGGGTCTTGCTCTGTCACCTAGGCTGGGGTGTAGTGGCACAGTCATAGCTCACTGCAGTCTCAAACTCCTGGGCTCAAGTGGATTCCTTGAGCTTCTGCCTCAACCTTCCCAGTTGCTAGGACTACAGGCACATGTAGCATTGTTATTTAGCAGTGTGTTTTCAATGTCAGTGTTCTAATAAAAACTTAACTTTAGTAAGTACACATGAATAATTCAAACAGCCAGTTTGCTTTGCACAGTTATATCACTGTACTTCTTTATAGTAAAAATTACTGTAAGTTGTGTCTTAGAATGTTACATTTAAGGAATTGTGTGAGTCACTGTGTTTTACTTATAAGAGCATTATGAACTCGTCCTAGTCATCTCTATTATCTATCATGTGTATTTTTTCAGAGACATAAATGGAAGTATATAAAGATTTACTCCTTCACCATGCTCAGTCCTACTAAACAGTTCCCCAAACTCACTGAGCTCTATGCTATTTTGATCTGTTTCATTCTTTGAGCCCAAATGACTACCTGAATTGGATTCAGTCCCCCTCTGACAGGTACAGAAAGCATCTTTTAGACTGCTTACTGCTAAGATTGAGTTATTGCAGGTTCGTTTGAAAACTAGTAACATTCTAACTTCCTAAACAATGACATGTAATAAACATCTGGTTAATTTTTTTTAGGATGATAAGGGAAATGTCGTCTTTGGATTATACGATTGCCAAACCAGACAAAATGAGGTAAAAATCACCATAAATGATATATTACTCATTGGTTACTTTACTGCCTTTAGAGTTTTCTTATTTGTCGCCTCCTTTTTCTAGATATAAAATATAATTTTGTTTTCTTCTTTTTCTAAACATTTTATTTGAAAAAACAGAATTGCAATTTGAGGTGTATACACAGATCAGGGTAGTCTTTGGTATGTCCAAAGAACAAAGAAGGGTTGGGGGTTTTATCAGAAAGAGAAATGTTACATATGGCTTTGAAAGAACGCTCATTGGTAATAGGAAAGTTTCCAGGGGCTGGCAAGATCTAATTGGTGTGTGAAACAGTAGGTAAAACTAGTTTTAGAGCCATGGCAGTTTGTTACAGCAGCTACTAGGTAAAGCTATTCTTTAAGTTTATGGCATTTGGTTATTTTGGCAGCTGGCTCACAGGATAATACCTGGGCAGGCACTTGTGCCCCATGTGCTTCTCTTTTCCGCTCCTGATCTCTTGATTTAACTGAATTGAGTATGACAGTAACTCCAATTCATGTAATCAATTTTCACAGTATATGCAACAGTTTATTTGTTGATGGGCACTTATTTGTAATAATTGTCTATTATGAACACTGTTGTATACATAATGATTTGTTTTTTAATTCTTTTGTGTGCATATCTAGGAGTGGGAATACCAACTTTATTTTCTAAAAATTTATATTTCTTTGCTTTTCTTTTCTTCTCCCTTAACTATCTCTTGGTCCTATTGTCTTAAACAAAAAATGCACAGACTATTGGACCAAAAAGTGAGGTGAAGTCTCTTATGCCTTTTAGGTTGAAGTAAAGTAGGCTTAAACAAATTATCCCATATCCTGTAAGAAAGAAGGAGGTCCATTGCCCTCCTTGAGATTTGTGTACTCCCAGGTCATCATATTATAATGACTTCTGGCTCTTTCTGCTTCTGTTTAACCTTCATGTGTCTTGTTTCGCATTATTTCTTAATGATCTAGACATGGAACTCAGCTGTCTTTCCTTGTTTTTCCCCCAAATTACTCGCATAAGGTATTGGTTGATGTGACAGGTTTTGTCTAATTCTGAGAGCAAATGCGAGGGAGTCATTTTGTGCCTATGTAAAAATAATTTAGAATTAAATATTAGATATCATTGAACTTAAATGTCCTTTATCCATTACAAATTTCTCACAGGTCACCTTAGTCTTCAGGGTTCCAGCATGCTACTTGGTTAATTCTCTTTTCCCTTTGTGTACCCCTTTCACCTTTTTTCCTTCATTCACTCACTCACTCATTCATTGATCGAACAAATAAGCATTGAGTGTTTTCACTGTCCAGTGCTAGGGACACAGTGATGATCAACATAAACTCACACTATGCTGTCTAGGGAAAGAGAATAAAATCTCCAGTTTTCAGTGTAATCCTTAGTTTAGTTTCTGTGTGGCATGATCAGTCTGTCTTCTGTCAATCCATTTGTGGTGACTGCTGCTATCTTTTGTGGTTACATTCCTCTCTTCCAAGACTGTGAGCACTTGACAGTGAGGAGCATTTTGCATGCAAATGTGTTTTATCTCCGTAACCTTTAGCTTCCTAAGTCTGTGAGTGATAGGAGTGCAGTGAAGTTTTTCAGTGGATTGATAGTGATAGGTTCCCTCCAGAGTGGCTGTTTTTCAAAAGTTTTCCAGTCCAAAATGTGAAAATTAGTCCAGAAAAAATATTGGCAAAAAGGATGAAATTTAAACTAACTTTAAATCAGAAATTTAAACTAGCTTTGTAAACTGGCAAATTTTGCTTCTGAACCATAGTCACTAAACAAACCCTCCCTATCCCATCTCTTTTCCACATAAGCACAACCCTTACAGCCCATAAGTTTTTTTTTTTTTTAACTGACCTCTTGATGTTTTACTGAAGGAATGGATTTGTATGCCAACTCTAGATAGGCTTTAAAAATTCTTTTCAAGTACTGTATTTTTCCTTAGAAGGGTGCCACCAGAAAAAGATGGTGCCATCAAGAGAAAAAAATCTTCTTCTTGGTAACTGAGCTTCAGGGTGGGATAATGGTGTCTGAGTCTTAATGCTTACCCATCCTTCTCTCAAAGTTTTTATTTATTTTATTTTACTTTTTTTAAGACAGAGTCTCGCTCTGTCGCCAGGCGCCAGGCTGGAGTGCAGTGCCACGATCTTGGTTCACTGCAACCTCTGCCTCCTGGGTTCAAGCAATTCTCCTGCCTCAGCTTCCCAAGTAGCTGGGATTACGGGTTGCGCCACCATGCCCAGCCAATTTTTGTATGTTTTAGTAGAGACGGTTGGTCAGGATGGTCTCGATCTCTTGACCTCGTGACCTGCCCGCCTCGGCCTCCCAAAGTGCTGGGATTACAGGCATGAGCCACCGTGCCTGGCCAAGTTTTTATTTTTTTAATTTGAAAAACTAGTACAGCAATGTCCTGTGTACTCTTCACTCAGTTTCTCTCAATTATTATGTCTTGTGTAACTATAGGATAATATATTAAAACCAATAAATTAATGTCGGTAGAATGTGTGCATATAGTTCTCTATGCTATTTCATCACTTGTGTGGATTCCTGTAATTACCACTACAATAAAGAAAAAGAATTATTCCATCACCACAAGATCTATTGTGTTGAAATTTTACTAGTTCAAACGACCTGTAGAACTCTTACCTCCTTTTAAGTCTCTTTACCTTTCTATGTTTTTGATTGTCTTTGATATTTCCTATATGTTCTTAGGCAATGTTATACTTTTGGCCCCGATTGTTGAACATAATTGAGAAAATACAAAAGGAGAAGGAAAGTCAATTTTGTTTACCTGTATATTTGTTCTTTCTATGGTTCTTTCCGGCTTTCTGATCTTTTAAGATTCCTCTTTTATCATTTACTTTCTCTTTCAAGAACTTTTTTTAGCCATTTTTTTAGGGTAGGTATGCTGATGACAAATTCTCAGTTTCTTCATCTGCGAATGTCTTTTTTTCCTTTCATTCCTGAAGGATAATTTTACCAAGTATAGAATTCAGGACTCGTAGTTCTTTTTGTTTCTCTCTTGAAAAACATGCCATTTCTTCTGGGCTCTCTGGTTTCTCATGAGAAATCTGCTGTCTTCTGAATTGTTCGTTCCCCATATAGGTAAGATGTCACTTTTTTTCTTTGCTGTTTTTTGAAAAAAATTTTTTCTTTCTCCTTAGATTTCTGAAGTTTGATTATACTGTGTCTTGGTGTGGATTTGTTTGGATTTTCCCTGTTTGGAGTTTACTTGGCTTACTGAATCTGTAGTCTCTTGCCAAATTTGGAACATTTTTAGTCATTAGCTAGTATTTCTTCCAATACTTTACTTAAAATTCCTCTGTTTCTCTTCTCTTTTTATGGACTCTTCTAACACAAATGGTAGATCTTTTGTTATAGTCTCACAGATCTCTGAGGTTCTGCTTCCTTTTTTTTTGAGATGGAGTCTCACACTGTCACCCGGCCTGTAGTGCAGTGGTACAGTCTTGGCTCACTGCAATCTTCGCCTCCTAGGTTCAAGTAATTCTCCTGCCTCAGCCCCCAAGTAGCTGGGACTACAGGCGTGCGCCACCACTCCCAGCTAATTTTTTGTTGTATTTTTAGTAGAGACAGGGTTTCACCATGTTGGCCAGGATGGTTTCAATCTCCTGACCTTGTGATATGCCCACCTCAGCCTCCCACAGTGCTGGAATTACAGGTGTGAGCCACAGTGTCTGGCCCTGTTTTCTTTATTTTTTGGATTTCTGTCTATTGTTTTAAATTAGGCGACTTCTGTTGTTTTCAAGTTCACTGATTCTTCTGTCCGCTCCACTATGTTGTTGAGCCTACCCAGAGAGGTTTTGTTAAAAAAAAAAAAATTGGTGATTTTTCAGTTGTGACATTTCCATTAGTATTTTTCTTTATATATTCTATTACTTGCTGAGATTTTCATTTGTTTCAAGGATGCTTATAATTACTTATTGAAACTTTTTTTTAAAGATGGAGTTTCGCTCTTGTTGCCCAGATTGGAATACGGTGGTGCAATCTTGGCTTACTGCAACCTTCACCTTCCAGGTTCAAGTGATTCTCCTGCCTCAGCCTCCCGAGTAGCTGGGACTACGGGCGCACACCACCAGCCTCCCAAAGTGCTGGGATTACAGGCATGAGCCACCGTGCCTGGCCTGTGGAAGCATTTCTATGGTGATGGTTTTTAAATCTTTGTCAGAAAATTCCAGTATCTGCATTGTCTCAGTGCTTGTGCCTATTATTTTCTTGTTCAGCTTGAGATCTTCCTGGTTCTTGGTATGATATGAAATTTTCTATTTTATGTTAGACATTTCGAGTACTACATTAGGAAACTCTGGATCTTACTTAAGTCTTCTCTTTAGCATGCCTCCTCTGATAATATACCTGTTGGGGAATTAGCAGGGTATGGGGTACAACCTCACTATTGCTAGGTTGTGGTGGGGGGAAGGTCCAGGTTCCCTACTTGGCCTACTTGGACACCCCAGTGGGGAGAAGTGCCTTGTTAGAGTAGACAGAGGTAGGATTTCACTCTCCCCACTTGGCTTCCACTGATACCACAGCAGAGGAACAGGATGGGGCAAAGGTAGATGAAGGCCTCATTATCATCTGGTGGTAGTAAAAGTTCTGGCTTCCCATTCAGCCACCTCAGGCACCATCCCAGTGAGGAGGTGGAAAGGGACCTCTTTCCACATGGCTTTGCTGGCATTCTTGGTGGGGAAAGCTCATTACCACTGGGAATGGATGAAAGTTTTGATTTCCTACTTGGTCTTCTTTGATATTCTTCTCACAGAAGGGGGAAGGGTGCCTTGTTATAGCTGGGCAAAGGTGGGAGTCTAAGCTCCTCATACAGCCTTTGCTGGTAGAGGAGGAAGTGGGGTTGTATTTTCTTTCCTGGTGTTTGGCTGGAGTTAGGGTGGTTGTAGTAAAAAAAAAAAAAAGTTTCTCTCTTGCTATGTTTCCCTTTTCCAGTTCCTTTGGCTGGAGAGAATGGGTGTGTGTTTGTTTTTGTGTGCTCCCATCAGTATTTCTGTTGTTTTCTCCTCTTTAGCTCTGAATGTAGGCTATATGACCCAAAAGGAAAACCCAGGGAACTCACTACTATGTCATTAATCAGGACCCGAGGTCCCTAAAGAATCCCTGCCTTCTCTCTACATTTCAGAGTTATATTTGGTTTTTTAAAAAATACATGTCCAGGGTTTTAAAACTGTACTTTGTGGGAGCAATAGAGACAAGTGGGTTGACTCCACTTTGCCCCCTTCCTCTCAAGTTTTAGCGAATGGTCTTACCCTGCAATATCCAAATGGGAAGCAATGTATTACTTATGCACAATTAGGTACACTCCCAATGTTTCCTTCCTCAACCTCTTCCACCTCTTTCTCCCACCTCCTGTCATGTAGGCCTTCCCTGGTAGTACATGCAAGAGTGGACATGAACTAAACTGGTTGCATACAAGTGAATACTTGGCTGGGAATTTGGGACATGGACTCTTCTCTTTTCCACTGGGCTTGGTAATAAGTGAATTCAGTGGGTTGGAACTGCTGTGGGTTTGGGGACTAGAACTTGGAGGTCTACTGTGTGGAGGCTAACAAATGTATTGAACCTGGAAAGCTAGAATGGGTATTTCCAGCTCTGGGTCAAGCCAATACTTAAGTAACACCCTGTTCTGTTCAATTTCATGAGCTACTAATTGTCTTTTTGCCTAAGCTAGTTTGGGGAAGGTTTTTTGATGCTTGCAGTTAAAGGCTTCTGATACTTGCATACCTATTAACCTAGAAATTCCACTTTGAGGTTTTGATTCTACAGAAATACCTGTACAAATTCACATAGGTGTATGTAAAAGGAAGTTCATTGGATTATTATACTACGTAAATGTAGAAGGCAAACTAAATGCCCATCAGTAAGTTTTTGGAAATTGATACAGCTATTCAAGGATTAAGAAGTCTATAAATGTACTGGTACAGAAGGCTCTTCAAAACATATTGTTACATGAAAAAAGCAAGTTGTCAGAATAACACATGGCAGTTATGTTTTGAAAAAACTTGCACTGTCACTCTAAGTAACTACAGAAAATTTGTAAACATGCTTCTTTTTGGAAGGAAGTTGGGATTGGCTGAGTATAATGGACTGTTTATATCTTTTGATCTTTTTTAATGTTTGAGACAGGGTCTTGCTCTGTCACGTGGGCTGGAGTTCAGTGGCACAATTACAGTTCACAGCAGTCTTCACCTCCTGGGCTCAAGTAATCCTTCCGTCTCAGCCTCCCAAGTAGCTTGGACTATAGGCATGCCACCATGCCTGCCTAATTAAAAACATTTTTTTTTTGGAGAGACAGGATTTTGTCATGTTATCCAGGCTGGCTTTGACTTTTTATCTGATAGTATTTGCTTTTTTTTTTGAGATGGAATCTCGCTCTGTTGTCACGCTGGAGTGCAGTGGCATGATCTCGGCTCACTGCAACCTCGGCTTCCGGGGTTCAAGTGATTTTCCTGCCTCAGCCTCCTGCCCAGTTGATTTTTGTAGTTTTTGTGAATATGGAATTTCACCATGTTGACCAGGATAGTCTCAATCTCTTGACCTTGTGATCCACCCACCTTGGTCTCCCAAAGCGCTGGGATTACACACGTGAGCCACCACACCTGGCCATAGTGTTTGCATTTTTAAACACTGAGACTATACTTACATTATTTTATAATTAAAACATAATACATTAAAAATTAAGTGTATGTTCCCATTCTTCTTAGTTATAATTTGGAATTAGATTCTTCTTGGTAATAATTTAGAATTAGATTCTTCTTAATAATAATTTAGAATTCCTCAGTTAGAGCAACAGTAAAAGGAAATGGAAAATTCTCACATAAATTCAGTACCTTATTATCTGAAAATTCACTTTTTGTAATCAGTTGTTCCCTAACTTCCCCAGCTTTTCCCATTGACTTCTAGCTATAGGGATCTGGTGTGTTCTTGATAATTTTTTAGTGTGCAGATACCAGTAACCTTCTTAATACTTAAACTATTTATTGTTTGACCTAGTCTGTTCTCTTCTGAGGTCTAAGACAGTCTGTTTCGCTTATCCCCTGGGTGTTCTTTAAGAGAGACTGCGTAATAGGACTGGTGTCCTCTAGTTCCTCTATCTTGACATCACATCCTACTGCATGGGCATTTTCATTTTCTTTAATATTCAAGGAAATGGAATCTTGCAACATTTTTAACGTTTTAAACAGCAACAAGAAAAAAAAACTAAAGATAGAAGACTACCTTCCCAGTCCTCTAAATATGAAAGCCCTATGGGAGATGTACTTGTGACAGTGGCTAAGATAACTAATGATTCTTTTGTAATTAATTACCTCAGTAATTACAATAGCTAACATTTGAGTGCTTATTGCGCTAAGTGCTTCATATAGATTATCTTGCTTGATCCTCCTAGCAATCCCATGAGTAGATTTTATGATTGCTATTTTACTGATAAGGGGGAAAGAGAAGCTGAATAATTTATTCAAGGTCACACAGCTAGTAAGTGACAGTCAGGATTTGAACCTGGGTTCAGTAGGGCTCCAACATCTATGCTCTTAAACACTATGCTTGATTGTCTTATGGCTCAATATCAGTGCCAAACATGGCTTATGATAGCAAAGTTTTTTTTTGGTAAGAGTGGTCTGGTTTTGGTAAAGAGTGGTCTGTCAGCATAGCTAAACTAGTTTGATTCTTTACTAAAATATTTTGCTCCAGTAGTACTTAGCACAGAGCTTAATGGGAATTTACATTAATACAATTGTTATTTAATATGTGAAACTCTAAATTAAAAAATACTTTCATTTTAATAGCTTCTATATGCCTTTGAGAAAGACTTGGAAGTTTTCAGTTGCTCTGTCAACAGTGAAAGAACTTTGCTTGGTAAGTTGGACTCTTATTGCTGCATGTCAATAACTGAACTACATCTTTTAAGAGTTTCAAAGTATTAGGTTTTTGCAGTATTAAATTACTCTATAATAATGATTTTCTAAGAAAGAAATGTTCTTGGGAAGTTAAGTTTGAAATAAAGAATATGGAGAGCATACCTACAAAAAAGAATGCTTTGCATTCTGCCCTAATCTTCCATTGACATATCCTTTGGGCTCCCATCTGTTTCAGGTATAAAATGGGAAAGTTTAACAAGCCATCACATGGATCAATTGCTAATGGATTTTTTTTCTTTTTCCATTAGCTGCAAGTTTAATTCAGTCTACTAAAGAAGGAAAAAGGAATGAACTTCAACCAGGTAATGAAATTATACTTTTTGGTATCTATGGGTAGATGAAGGTTATTGGTAGGTGATTTTTTTGTACCACTAAATAAAATTTCAAGCATCTTTAGAAACAGCCTTATTGTATCTCAGAATAAAAGGCAAGGGTCATATCAAGTATGAACAAGACTTTTAAAAAGTATTTTTTTCAAGCAAACAGAAAAGTACAGACAGTGATCTAACAGTGACTAGCAGAAGTGTTAAGATGGTAATTAATACCTGTAGGCTAAATAAATGCTGAATTAGAAACCTATAGTCAGATGTTGGTGTAAAAGATTGGGAAAGTCAAGAATGTATTTTTCTTATATCTGGTTAAGTATTGATTAATTAGTACACATTGTAAGTGGTACCCTAATACTAAAGATCAATTCTGCTCATTTACCAAGGCCTTGACTTTATAGTTTTACAGCTATGGGATGCTCCCTTGCCCCTCCTCACCACTTTTTAAAGTGTTGTAAGTCATCCCCCTGTCTATAACTCAATGGTATTGAGTGCCTGCTGGGGGTCAGGCACTATGCATGGTGCTGGGGATACAATGGTGTGTAAGAGAGGTATAGCATCTATTTTCTTGGAGCTTTCAGTCTAGTCCTGGGTTTCAATTGCAAATGCATACATTGGTCAGAGAGACCATATAAATAAGTGAAGCAGATTGAGTGTAAGAAAAAAATCTAGTGACCAACAAAATGTCTTTATTTTTTTCCATTTTTAACATAGAAACCAATAAATACCTTTTTTCTTTAGTGAAAAGAAAAAAATTCAAGAGCTATAGGGACTAGTAGTGGGGTGGGGATGCCCCATGGGAGACTTTCAAGAGAAGAAGTTACTACTGAGCCCTAGCTTTTTGTTGTCACTAGCAAGCTCGGTGGAACTGGCATTTCAATTTATCAAGGGAAGTCTAGAGTTTTTTTGTAAAGAAAGAATTTGTAAATATTGGCTTGACTATATTAAAATCCTACTTGGGACAATAATAACCACCTGTGGGCTGAAGCCAGCCTGTGACTACCATTTTTCAACTTGTGGCCTAGTGAGTCTCCTATCAGTCTCTTGCTATTCTGCTTCCGGGTGCTTTCCACCCATTCTATTTATCTGACACTTAAATTCCTTCTTTTGTTAGCATAGTTCCCACTCATGTATTTTCCTGCAGTTGCATGTGATGGAAAAACCCTTTGTATTTACTTTCCACGTGAGGCTTGTGAGGCACTCCCAGACTTCTCATGATACACATTTCTCCAGAGCCAAGTCTGGATGGAACATTCTTGGTAGCCTCAGTAAAATTGTTTATGGGTTATTTGGTGGGCAGGAGGCTCACCTGAAATCTCATCATTTGTGATGCTCATTCCTACCTTCCCCTTGCCATGATATACTGAGAACAACAACCCCTTCATTCTTCTGTGCCATGTCCTCCTTTTCCCAGTACCATCATCACTCTCTGCTCTTTTTAGAATTAGATGCAAGGCTTGCTTCAGAGGAGGTGGAACTGGAATAGCTTGAGTGAAATATGATCTGGCTGGGGCATAGGTGTCCTGACCCTTAAAACAAGGGTATGGGCAAAACCCCAGGATATGGCCCCAACCTTTGAGCTAATAGACTCCTTTCTCTAAGAGGAACAGTTTAGCTGCTGTGTTCCAGGAGATGGTGAGGGTGGGCATCTGTATAGAACCTTGGGTTGGCTCCTGTGCCTGCCAGTTCTTCTTGTACCTTATATTTTTAGCCTTAAAAATTCTTTATTATGTTGGGAAACTGAGTGGTAACTATATTTTTTACATCTATTTATTCATCATCTATGCTTGACTGTCACACAGAAGTAGTCATACATAGATTCTAAAATTTACTTTCAGGCCAACTTTAAACTTTATTTGATTACAACATTAAAGTCTATTCAGGGATGCTTGCTCAGTCTTGTTAGTTTGATGCACTTGTAATGAGATTATGTACTTGCATCTTTAAAAACATTGGAATGAACATTATTAGTTACTGTATTGGATACCTCACAGCTTACCTTCGAAGCCAGTCACTGTGGCGAGAACCAGCTCTGCCCAGCTGTAATTTGACACTGCCTCATCTCAGCTGCCCTACCTGCTTCTTGCCTTCTGCCCAGGGCCACTGGGAAAATCTGTTTACTCCCTGCACATGTACAGCTTGGAAGTATGATTGGGCATGATGCCCAGGAGAATAACCCGTGACCAATGGCGGCAAGGAGCTGAAAGATAAATGGTCTTCCTTTCCATCTTTAAAGTGGGTAATTGTGAGGTGTACTCTAAGCAGATGAAAATCCAGGGTGGTCACTAATTTGATAATTCCCCATTTACTGGTGTATTTTTCTTTCCTGTTTCACTCTTCTCAGTCCCCTTCGCCAACCCTGGCTAGAATGATCCTAGAGTAATGTTGTTTCCTGAGATAAGTTCTTGTCTTAGTGTGAATTTCCCCATAACTAGTGCCTAAAGCAGGGTTTGAGTGCAGTTAATTTATTTGGGGAATGATACTAGGAAAGGCCATTAGAGGAATGTTTAAACAGAGACCTGAAGGTGGGGAGGGAACAAGCATGAGGCTATGGGAGAGCACATTTCTGACAGATCAGTCAGTATATAAGTGTACTTGGTAGACTTGCTGTTCAAGAAGAGTAAGGAGGTCAGTGAGACAAGTGGAGTGAACAAAGGGCAGAGTGGTAGGAACTGAGGGCAAAGGAAAATAAGTGAGATGCAGATAGATCACACAGACCCAAGAAGGCCATTGTAAAGGTGTGGCCCTCACTCCTAGTAAAATGGGAAGTGATACGGATTTTGAGCAGGGGTGTGATCTGACTTGCTCCATAAAAGGATTGCTGTAGCTGCTCTGTGGAAAATGGACTACAGAAAGGCAAGGGGAGAGCTGGTTGGAGAGCTATTATAGTCTAGTGGCTTGGATTGGTAAAGTGGAACAAGGGCTAGGTAGCTGTCTTTGGATGTATTCAAAAGATAGACTTGTTAAAATTGGCTGCTTGGCCAGGTGCAATGGCTCACGCCTGTAATCCCAGCACTTTGGGAGGCTGAGGCAGGTGAGGTTAGGAGTTTGAGACCAGCCTGGCCAACATGGTGAAACCCTGTCTCTACTAAAAATACAAAAATTAGCTGGATGTGACACATGCCTGTAATTCCAGCCACTTGGGAGGCTGAGGCAAGGAAATTGCTTGAACCGGGGAAATGGAAATAGAGGTTGTAGTGAGCCGAGATTGTGCCACTGCACTCCAGCCTGGGTGAAAGAGTGAGATTCCATCTAAAAAAAAGATTGGCTGCTGGATTTGATGGGAATATGAGAAAAAGATAAGTCAAGGGTGACTCACTCTAAGGTTTTTTGGCCAGAACAGGTAGAAGGGCGTGGGTTGGGGTGTATGTGTATGGAAGGGGCAGGAAAGAAGAGTTTGATTTTGAACTTGATCAGTTTGACATGCCTAATAGACAGCCTGGTGGAGATGTGAGGTAGGAGTTTGGAGATGAGTCAGAAGTCCAGGTAATCGTCGAAGTTGGAGAGACACATTCAGGAGTCATCAATTTATGAAGGTTATTGCTCATCATGGGAGGGTTTCATTTTGTTTGGTAAAGATTTCAGATGATGTAACCAGAAAGCACTATAGGATTTATTGGAATGTTTTATTTGAATGAAGATTTTGGAAAGGTTTATTTTGTCGGTCCATGAAATGGCCTTATAAGCCATTTGATTATAAGATGTAACGGTTTGTCTCCGGTGGTGCTTAACACTGTTGCTTAAAATGAGATTTTTCCACTGTAGATGAGACAAATTGTACCATCTTTTATGTAAACAAAACAGGGTTCTTTGATCCACATACTTTACAATGCTTTTTTTTTTTTAATCAATGGTGCTCCTATTCTTGGCCGTAGAGATGGCAGAGTTAATGTTACTGAGAAAATGGCCTTCCGTAGGAAACCAGGCTCTGGCTGCCCCCTTCATCCTCCCCTGTGGAGTTGCATTTGCCACAAATCACTGCAGATTCCCACGGGGCAGCATTTGGGGTAACTACATGGGTTGGGGGCCCCATGCCACTGAGATTCTCCAGAGCCCTCCTCTTACCATCATAGACATTCAAGTGTCACAGATGCTCTGCAAAGCTGTGATTCGGTTCAAGAGCTCAAATAACCAGAGCTCCTTCAGAATCAGGCCACATTGAACTTCCCCATCCTTGTCACCATTTCACAGCACGTGCCTGCATCACACCACATTCTTTTGCCCACCTCCATTCTCCTTATGTCATGTCTATCCCTCTGCTTGATCCTGCTCTCTCCTCTCTCCTTCTTGTGGTATCCAGATCCTGTCTTACCCTTCAGTGATGGTCTCCCAGTCTCCACTTATAACACTGATAATCTTTTTGAGACAGTGTCTTGCTCTGTCACCCAGGCTGGAGTGCAGTGGCATGATCTTGGCTCACTGCAACCTCTGCCTCCTGGGTTCAAGTGATTCTCCTGCCTCAGTCTCCTGAGTAGCTGGGATTACAAGCGTGCAACGCCACACCTGGCTAATTTTTTGTATTTTTAGTAGTAAGGGGATTTAGTCATGTTGCCCAGGCTGGTGTCGAATTCCTGAGCTCAGGCAATCCACTCACTTCAGCCTCCCAAAGTGTTAGGATTACAGGCATGATCCACTGTGTCTGGTCTCCACTGATAACTTGATTCTCAAAATTCTTTTTTTTTTTTTTTTTTTTTTTCCCCCCAAGACAGAGCCTTGCTCTGTTGCCCAGGCTGGAGTGCAGTGGTGTGATCTTGGCTCACTGTAATCTCTGCCTCCTAGGTTCAAGTGATTTTCCTTCCTCAGCCTCCCGAGTAACTGGGACTATAGGCACCGCCATCATGCCTGGCTAATTTTTGTATTTTTAGTAGAGATGGGGTATCCCCATGTTGGCCAGCTGGTCTTGAACTCCTGACCTCAGTTGTTCCATCTGCCTCAGCCTTCCAAGGTGTTAGGATGTGGCATGAGCCACTGCACTCAGCCATCAAAATTCTTAGTTTAGCACTTCATGGAACACTGGGATTTTATGGCTGAAAGGGATTGTAGAGGTAATCTGGTTCTTTAGTCTTTCATTTTATTATGATTATTATTTTTGAAACAGGATCTTGCTCTGTTGCCTAGGCTGTGCACTGACATTATCATGGCTCACTGTAGCCTTGACCCCCCACCCCAGCCAAACTGATCTTCTCACCTCAACCTCCTGAGTACCTGGGACTGTAGGCACACACCACCATGCCCAGCTAGTTCTTAATATTTTTTTCATTTTTTTTTTGGTAGAGACAGGGTTTCACTATGTTGCCCAGGCTGGTCTCAAACTCCTGGACTCAAGTGATCCTCCTCTCTTGGCCTCCAAAAGTGTTGGGATTACAGGCATGAGTACCTTGCCCTGCACATTTTATTATGTTTAGTAATGAAGCATTGAGGCCTAGGAAAGCTGGGTGATTTTCTGAGAAATAAACACCTTGATAATGACAGAACTGAAACTGGAACTGATGTCTCTAGAATCTTAATTCAGAATGCTTCCTTTTTCACTGTGAAAGTACATGGTATATTACTGAGAGAAATTATAATTTGCAAAGGTTTACTCTTGTCATTATGCTAGTAATATTAGTCAAATGTCTGGGTCGCACTCCAGAAGGGAAAAATTACTGAAGAAAGATGTTTTCTGCCTTTAAAGATCTTCCCATTTTAAAGGTGAGAAAATCTAACTGACAGCTGGCTATCTCATTTGGGTACAAATTCCTGCTTAAAAAAAAGGCCAATATATGGTGATTATTTTTCTTTCTTTCTTTATTTTTTGAAACAGAGTCTCACTCTGTTGCCCAGGCTGGAGTGCAGTGGTGCGATCTCAGCTCACCACAACCTCCACCTCCCAGGTTCAAGCGATTCTACTGCCTCAGCCTCCCCAGTAGCTGGGATTATAGGCTCCTGCCACCATGCCCTGTTAATTTCTGTATTTTTAGTAGAGACAGGATTTCACCATGTTGGCCAGGCTGGTCTTGAACTCCTGACCTTGTGATCCGCCCACCTCAGCCTTCCAAAGTGGGGAATAAAAAAAAAAAATTGCATGGAGTGAGTGCGAACAACTTCCTCACTCCCAGCACATTGATTTCTCCCTTGGGATGTTTTCTGCATCCCTCTTGGATTTGTAGAAGGGTCAAAGTCAAACTTTAAAGTGTTAAACTTTAAGAAAATTACCTTTTACCCCCCTGTAGAATAACTAATACAGTAGTATATTTATATTTTCAGAAAGTTCAGACATGTCTGCTTTTGCAAATGATAGAACTGTGATAATTGGGAAAAATGATATCCAGGAGAACCCAGTTTGTCAGACCCTTTCATATGTTGCTCGTGAGAGAGCAAAGTGATATACAGGAATCTTCTATTTCAGAAGCCACTTGTATTTTTAATGTGATGCTTTTTTACGAATACAGAATTATTATAATCTGAAATTTGTCTCCCTTGTATCAACTGTTGTTTCTGGGGCTTTTCAAAGACTTCCCTTTTCACATTTGCATGTCTTGAGTATCCTGTGGTTTTCATAATAAAATGCAACTTCTTCAGGGCTCCTGTGGGTGTGGAAGGCAGGTTCTTTGCTGGGCCAATTGCTCTTTTGGGGTCCTGTGCCACCATACATCCTAGAGAGTGGAACTGGAAACAAATGTACAGTTTAAGTCTTCTCACGGGACTTTATGATGGTAGAATTGTTTTATTAGTTTATAGTCACTGTAGTAGGATTTACCAGAAATTACTCTTCCTCCTTGCTTTGGAAAAAATAATATGTGATATTCTAAGCTTTGTTACTAAAGCCACCTTTTCTCTGTAGGATCAAAGTGCTTAACTTTGTTGGTTGAAATCCACCCTGTTAACAATGTGAAGGTTCTGAAAGCTGTGGATAGCTATATTTGGGTTCAGGTAAGTAAGCATACAATCATCACTTACTCATTAATCAAAAGACATGCAACCTAGAAGAACTGGTGTTTACAAAGTGCTTTCACACTATCATTATCATATTTAATCCTCAGAACAATCTTGTAGACTACTACAGCTGGAAATATCTTCCGTTCTTTCTTTGCAAGCATGGAAATTAACTCAAAGCTAGCTCCTCTGACTCTGTTACACTATCATTTGTTTCATAGTAATGTAATTTCTCATGATAAAATTTCAAATATTAAAGCACATTTAAGGCCAGGGTGGGGTGGGTCACGCCTGTATTTCCAGCACTTTGGGAGGCTGAGGTGGGCAGATCACGAAGTCAGGAGATTAAAGCCATCCTGGCCAACATGATAAAACACCGTCTCTACTAAAAATACAAAAATTAGCTGGGTGTGGTTGTGTGTGCCTGTAATCCCAGCTACTCGGGGGGCATGGGGGCGGGCTGAAGCAGGAGAATTGCTTGAACCCAAGAGGCGGAGGTTGCAGTGAGCCTAGGTCATGCCACTGTACTCCAGCCTAGCGACAGAGAGAGAGAGCAAGAGAGAGGTCCTCCATTGTCAGCCAGTCCTTTCAGCAGCACATTTCCCCACCACTCCATTTCAAAACAAAACCTCCCCAACCATTTAAAGTAAGGTTTAAATGGTCTATGTAATGTAGTTATGTGGTTGACAGATTAAATACCTATGATTAAATGATTTAATTCCTGAATTTATCAACTTCATGAGTTGATGCAGAAACTGCATGTATAATGTGGAATAGTCCCTACTCATTATTTGCAGATTTCATATTTGCAAATTCTCCTACTCCTAAAATTTGTTTGTAACCCTTAAATCATACACTCATAGTACTCGGTTAGTTATTTGCAGATGTATGCTGAGTGGTGAAAGAATTTGTCACCCAACATGCACATTCGCAATTGAGTTTGAACATGGTGATGCCCTGCCTTTTTGGTTTTAGCTCTCATACTAAAATGACTGTTGTTTTCATGGCCTAGTTTCATCTTTCAAATTTTTGTGCTTTTTTCCTGGCAATTTCACTGTTTAAATGGTCTCCAGGCATAGCTCTGAGGCACTGTCCAGTGTTCCTGAGTGCAGGAAGGCTGTCAGATGCCTTACAGAGAAAACATGTGTTTCAGTTAAGCTTCATTTAGGCATGAGTTACTATGCCACAAGTTTAAGGAGTGTCTTTAAATAGAAACACACAAAACAAGGTTATATACTGATCTGTTGACAAACATGTTGTGAGTTGAGGCTTACAAGAATTTATCCTTGTATGAGTTTGGATCATAATCTGAAAACACAATCCCGAACACCATAATCACGAATGTCAAAATCCTGAAAGGTAAAAATCCCTGATGTCTAAAGTCCCAAAAGTCACGATCACAGGATAGAATACATGAGTGTCTATACTTTCAAAACTGTATATGTTATTATTTGCCTATTGTATAAAGTGGACTATGAAGTGTGCTTTTGTGTTTTGCTTCTCAGATAATTCTTCTAAAAATTTCAATACAGCTTTTAAATGATTTTTAAAATTATTTTCTTCTAGAATTATATTTTTGGGATTTTGATGTTTTGTGATTTCAGTATTTAGGATTATGGCATTGGGGATTGTGTCTTTCAGGATTATGATCAGCTCCCTTTGTATTTTCCCTAGGAGTGATGGTTCAGTATTCGGTATACAACATTTGTGGTGACTTTACAAAACTTAACTACTAAGAATAATTTGAATCTAAAGTATATGTTCGTGCAGTGCTGCAGCATAATTTCCTTTCATCTAATTTTACATTTTGTTACAGAGTCAAAATATTTCTTTTGGTCTAGCTGGAGTCAATTTCTACCACCCAAAGTATCTGCCGCTTTGTCTCCCAAGCTACTACCAGCCTCCAGCCTATGGGCCTCCCTATTCTGGTGGGTTAGGAGAGAGGGTTGTCTCTCTCTGCTCAGGGTCTGCCACTGTCAGCCAATCCTTTCAGCTGCGCATTTCCCCACCATTCCTGATTGCACTGTGGGTCACTTCTCAATTCCAGACAGGGGCCTGGCCTGAAGCTCCCAAGCTATGTTCTGCTACCTCAGGAAGCTACTCTGTCTATACTGTCATCAGTGTGGGGACAGCTGGGGGACAGAGCACACTTCCCTTTTCTGGTCTGCTCTTTGACTTCCTCAGCATCTCTGATTAGAGCTGTATAGATGCTGGAGACATGACTGAAGGATTGGGGTAACTAAAGGCAATTGGAGCATAGAAAGGGGAAAAGTTTTTAAAGGCAAGTGGTTGTATACATTGTGAATATATTTAAAACTACATATATATATATAAATGATTAAAATGTTAAATTTCATATTATGTGAATTCAATTTTAAAAAGTTAAAAGTGGCTGGGCGCAGTGGCTCATGCCTGTAATCTTAGCACTTTGGGAGGCCAAGGCGGGTGGATTGCCTGAGCGCAGGAGTTCGAGACCAGCCTGGCCAACGTGGCAAAACCCCATCTCTACTTAAAATATAAAAATTAGCTATACATGGTGATACGCTCCTGTAATCCCAGCTTCTGAAGAGGCTGAGGCAGGAGGATTAGTTGAAACCCGGGCGGTGGAGGTTGCAGTAAGTCAAGATCATGCCATTGCATGCCAGCCTGGGCAACAGAACGAAACTCCAAGTCAAAAAAAAAAAGTTAAAAGTATGTGGAACAGGACAGCATCTATAGGCCAAAGAAAAGGTCCCCACTCAAAGTAAAACCTGTATCCATTCTTTGGACCCATCTCAGTTCCTAACTCTGCCTCCTGCTCTCATGTCTATGCCTCTGGAGAGAGAAATTCCTCCAATCCCCAGTGGCAAATCCCCATCTTCGCCCTCTAGAGAAATAACATTTACTGTCCATTGAGTTGGTCTTGCCCTGGAATCTATTTCCTTTTTCTTACAAAAACATCCATGGTGATCTCCAGTAGCACATTTCTCTAACTCTGCATGTGTAGTCTTGACCACCTACACAGAGGAGCTTCAGCAGGACAGTGGCAGGTGGGGCTTGGAAACCAATCCGGGACCCTTAGGGTGTTCCCTTCCAGCATGAGGTGGTCTTCCAGATAGTTCCAGTGGGTAATTACACACCCTCTACACACCTAGACTACACATTTCCAAAGACCAATATTCATTCGAAGTCTAGCTCCATATTTGTGAAGATAAATTTTCCTAAGGAAATATAATCTCCATAGAGTCCTAGTTAAAATACAAAAAGCCACCTTGAATACTTTTGTAGGCAGATGGAATCTTGCCTCTCTGTTGTTGGCTTCCAGGCCTTACTCTAGGACCACCTTACAATAGAAAGAAGAAAAAAACACCTACCTAAATGGGACTTTTAAAATAACATTCGGGCCGGGCGCGGTGGCTCAAGCCTGTAATCCCAGCGCTTTGGGAGGCCGAGGCGGGTGGATCACGAGGTCAACAGATCGAGACCATCCTGGTCAACATGGTGAAACCCCGTCTCTACTAAAAATTACAAAAAATTAGCTGGGCACGGTGGTGCGTGCCTGTAATCCCAGCTACTCAGGAGGCTGAGGCAGGAGAATTGCCTGAACCCAGGGGGCGGAGGTTGCGGTGAGCCGAGATTGCGCCATTGCACTCCAGCCTGGGTAACAAGAGCGAAACTCCGTCTCAAAAAAAAAAAAAAAAAAAAAAAATTCTCCCTGATTGTCACAGGAAGACCAGGTAGAGGTTCAGAGGTTGGCAGTTACACCTCTTCAGCACCTCAGTCCATGTCACATTCCTAAGCAGGCATGCCCTGGACACCTCCGTAGACCTGGAGTAGGAGCATCTCAATATTTGAGGCACTGAACATTTGTTCTTCTGTCATATATGTAGTGTCATTCATCTCTGCTTTTCGTCAACTCTAGTGTGCAAAGTATCTTGTTTGATGTGTGACATTTTACAAATCATGAGACAATTATTGTATTATTTTTGTAGCTGAAGTCTTCATTGCTATTTTATAATTTTGACTTTATTGCTGTGATGCATGTGTTTTTTCATTTCTAAAAGGGAACTCAACTATAAATGTTCCAAAGTTGACTAGTCCTACTTTTTTTTTTTAAATTTTTTATTGCATATTAGGTTTTGGGGTACATGTGCAGAACATGCAAGACAGTTGCATAGGTACACACATGGCAGTGTGTTTTGCTTCCTTTTCCCCCTTCACCCACATTTGGCATTTCTCCCCAGGCTATTCCTCCCCAGCTCCCCCACCCCCCACTGGCCCTCCCCTTTTCCCCCCAATAGACCCCAGTGTTTAGTACTCCCCTCCCTGTGTCCATGTGTTCTCATTTTTCGTCACCCGCCTATGAGTGAGAATATGCGGTGTTTCATTTTCTGTTCTTGTGTCAGTTTGCTGAGAATGATGTTCTCCAGATTCATCCATGTCCCTACAAACGACACAAACTCATCATTTCTGATTGCTGCATAATATTCCATGGTGTATATGTGCCACATTTTCCCAATCCAGTCTATCATCGATGGGCATTTGGGTTGGTTCCAGGTCTTTGCTATTGTAAACAGTGCTGCAATGAACATTAGTGTGCATGTGTCCTTATACTAGAATGATTTATAGTCCTTTGGGTATATACCCAGTAATGGGATTGCTGGGTCAAATGGAATTTCTATTTCTAAGGCCTTGAGGAATCGCCACACTGTCTTCTACAATGGTTGAACTAATTTACACTCCCACCAACAGTGTAAAAGTGTTCCTTTTTCTCCACATCCTCTCCAGCATCTGTTGTCTCCAGATTTTTTAATGATGGCCATTCTAACTGGCGTGAGATGGTATCTCAATGTGGTTTTGATTTGCATCTCTCTGATGACCAGTGACGATGAGCATTTTTTCATATGATTGTTGGCCTCATGTATATCTTCTTTTGTAAAGTGTCTGTTCATATCCTTTGCCCATTTTTGAATGGGCTTGATTTTTTTCCTGTAGATCTGTTTTAGTTCTTTCTAAAT